TGTTTGCCTGTTTGGTTCATGCTGTGTTTGTTTGTTCTCTTTACTAATATCGTTTGCTAGGTGGGCCGCAGCAAGAGCATGAGGGCGGCCATTCAGACCGAGAAATGCGGGGCATGCGACAAAACGGTGTACGCCATGGAGCGGCTGGAGATGAACAAGCGGGTGTACCACAAAGCATGTTTTAGGTGTACCCATTGCAAAGCAGTACTGACGTAAGGACTCCCTATATCTCTACATGACATCAGCAAATCCACTTGTCATAGTGTAGATGGGATGAAGCTGTGAAAGATCATGTCCTAGTTTTAAATACACTCTAGGTTTACATATGCTAAAAGAAACATAGGATTTAGATCCACTATAAGAGATCTGGGATTTAGATACCCTAAAAGAGACCTGGGATTTAAACCTTCTGAAAGAGTCCTGGGATTAAGACCTTCTAAAAGAGACCTGGGATTTTAGACCTTCTAAAAGAGACCTGGGATTTCGATCCGCTAAAAGAGACCTGGGAATTATATCCGCTAAAAGAGACCTGGGATTTAGATCCACTAAAAGTGACCTGGGATTTAGATCCGCTAAAAGAGACCTGGCATATAGATCCACTAAAAGAGACCTGTAATTTAGACCAGCTAAAAGAGTCCTAGGATTTAGATCCGCTAAAAGAGACCTGGGATTTAGACCTTCTAAAAGACACCTGGGATTTAGATCCACTAAAAGAGGCGTGGAATTTAGACCTAAAAGACACCTGGGATTTAGACCTTCTAAAAGAGACCTGGGATTTAGATCCACTAAAAGACACCTGGAATTTAGATTCACTAAAAGAGAGCTGGGATTTAGATCCACTAAAAGACACCTGGGATTTAGATCCACTAAAAGACACCTGGGATTTAGACCTTCTAAAAGACACCTGGGATTTAGATCCACTAAAAGAGACCTGGGATTTAGATCCACTAAAAGACACCTGGGATTTAGACCTTCTAAAAGAGACCAGGCATTTAAATCCACTAAAAGAGACATGGAATTTAGATCCACTAAAAAAGACCATTGATTTAGATCCAGCAGAATCTTAGATACAGAGAAGTAGATTCAATACCTTCCTAACAAGCACATCATACAAGTCAACTAATTAGGGGTTTCCCTCAAAGTCAAAGGGCATATGCTTGAGAGGAGAGGAACCAACAGTCTGCATACAAATAAACTAGATCTGTAAAATGGATGTGTTTGCAAAACAAGTTCTGGAACGAGACCAAAGAAGACACCCTAGGATAACGTCTGTAAAAAAGACACCATTTGTTTATGTCTATCAATAGACACACTTAATCGGCATCATAATTGATGCCCTAGGTTTATATCTGTGAAAGGAAACTAGGTTTATTTTCACTAAAGGTCACCATAGTTTTATATCCGTCAATTTACTAAAAGACGATTTCTATTCGTCTGTAAATTTACATGGGTCCCATTTGGGGTTGGTGGGTGTGGGGTGTTGACCCACTGCCCCATAACAAGCATGTCATAATAGGCGACTAATTAAGGGATTGCTGAAAGATGGATTGGGCTGTACGCCACGGATATCACAGCCTAGCTGTAAACAACAGTGCAGCAGCGCGCCAACCACCCTTTTAGGTCAAATTCATAAGAAGAAGACATGATTGTGTAATATGTTTGATAGTTAAATGTTTTATAACTTACCTTCAGTTGTTTATATTTTCATTGTTGTTTGTTCTGAAAATAAGTTTATGAACCATTGAACTCGAGGCTTCATGACTTACTGCATGCGAATTATCATATCAACACCAGCATATATATAGTCATGAAAATAATCCATATATATATATATATACACTCTCTTGTATGTGTGTAATAACATAACAATATGAAGCATGCAGTTAAAGACTGCACTTGAAACCCAGAAATCAAATATTAACTCTTGTCATAACATTCTGTTGGCTCGTTGTGTGGCATTTTCTGTTTGGAAGCCCTCAATTCATGAACTGTTTGATAGCCTAGTGCATGGGGGTAGCTGCTGAAAGTTGTATAGTGTGTGGTAGACATTGTCCTTTCTCTCGGCATGTTAGGGCATTTTGCATGTCAGATCTAACATGCAGGGGTGGTCGTGTGGTGTTTGGTCACAGTTACCTTCCAGTATGTTTAAATTTGTGTGTGTGTGGCTTTTCATGTTCGGCTGTGGTTGGTCAGAAAGAAAAGGATTGCTGGCTGGTTAGGGTTTTACGGTTGTCTGTTATGTGCAGGGTTACGCGGGCGTACACTGTGAGAACATTTATTCCTCATTGGAAGTGATTTATAGAGATCTCTGGGTGTTGATTTTTAAATTAGTTTAGGCAGGGATATAGATTTGCTGAAGTATGAGAAGTGTCCAAGTGCTTCACAAATGAGAACTCTAGAGTAAGAATGTAAGGATACCTGTGTATGAAATGGAGCGTATCGAAAGTCCATCACCTGGTAGCAGACCATTGTTTGTTAATTTCGGCACTGATATCAAGCAGTTCAGTAAGCACTGGCAAAACTGCTGAGTGTAAAATTGCCAGGTAAAACTAAACAACCAAAATATGAAAGGGAGCCACCGTGGTGTAGCAGCTAGATGCTGTCCTGCAGATCCGAAAGTTGTGGGTTTAATCCACATAGGGCGGTTAAAAAAAAAAAAAATTGCGTTATGACTTTGACTTCTAGACTGATCCAGCCTTAAATGGGTACTAGGTACAAGATCTGGGAAATAAAAGCGGCCGGCGTGGTGTTGACCACATGGTTCCGTATGTCGTGTGTATTGTGTGATGAAGCAGGCAGTTGCTCACATCAGGGAGATAAAATAGTTATAACACTGAAGTCATACACATGATATGGTATAGTACACATCTTTGTAAGTGTACTTTTCCTGGCACTTGTTCACGACATGGAGATACAACAGTCACTTCCTTCTTCTTCTTCTTCTTTGTTCACTGGCTGTAAACTCAGGCAGAAAGTCCTGGATTGTTCATCCATTTAGACTTTGGCTTTCTGCTAGGGTCTGGGTTTTGCGTGTACATTTATTGGCTCTTTTTGTGTGTGCAGTTGTTTGTTCCTTGCCGCTCAGGCAGGCGCAGTCTGACTTTGAAGGAAGCTCCCAATTAGTCCACCTACAACATACTTATTGGAGAGACAGTGGGTCTGTTCTTTGTTTAACCCCCCCCCCCCCCCACCCCAACTCTAGGGGGGGGGGGCCTGGAACTCACACAGGGACAAAAATCACTTTAAAGTCAAAAACCTGTTATGGTGGAAACTGTTGAGTTTTTTCATGTATTTTGTCTTTTTCTTCTTCTTCTTTTTAGCGTTCACGTGCGGTAAACTGCGGCGGTCTACCCCTGCCCACATCCCAAATGGGGCCTCTGTTCCATGAGAGTTTACATTGACTGACAGTTAGTTGTTCATAACAAGGACATACAACAATCATACTAAAGTCATGTATATTTTCCCATGTGTTTTGTTGGAAACATGTTTGAAAACCCCAGTCAGCTTGCAATGATACTGAACCCTAGTTCAGTCTCTCATCATCTCAGTCAGTCAGCAGGTCCTTTACAGAACATTGCTGCTGTCTTCAAGACATACCTGAAAGTCTCTCTATCTCTAGCCAGTTCTCCAGCCGTGGGTGCTTTCATAACCAATGCATCTTCAGAGTCCTGCATCCACATTTGTGGAGGTAGGCCTCTGCCTCGTTATCCAGAAACTGCACTATCCATCACTGCTCTCTCCAGTCCACGGCGCTTCACATGTCCAAATATCTCAGCTTTTGGGAGCAATGCTGTTTATGAGCTAGTTGTTCGTGATGTTCAGGTCATGCAGAATTTTGTTGCTTTTCTGCTTGGTCCACAGTATTCTAAGAATTGATCTGTAGAATGTTATTTCATAATCTACTGATTCATAATTGGTTTAACTCTTTTGGCACCTAGCAACCCACTATACATGTGTTGAATATGTCACTGTGCAGCTGTCTTCATTCCTGTTGACTCAGTAAGTTGTTACTAGTTCCCACTCTGGTCCATATTTTTTTGTTTTGCTTTCCTTATTTTTTTTTTAAATATCTTCTTTGCGGTGATAGTCATTTGTAGTTTAACAGATAATGGGTAGTGGACCTAGGGCCCCACGCTTCATTACTTGGTGCATTGTGAAGTTTTAGGCTGTTTTCGTTTTCTGTGTGTGTCTCTCTCTCTCACGCACATGTGCACACACACACACACACACACACACCCCCCCCCCACCTCTCTTTTGTAGCACAGGCTCCCACCAACTCATGCTAAGTCTGTCTTTTGCTACCACATGCAGCTCATCTGATATCCTTACAGTATTGTTTTCAGTTTACTCAGATTCCCTCCATATGTTTGCTCTGCTTTTTTTTTCTTTTGACCCTGTCAGCTTCAGCACAAGAAACATTCTGGTTTTAAGGTTATCAGGTTTTCTCAATGTGTGTCCTATCCAGTGCCAGCGCCATTTTCCTCACCTCCTGATTCACCATAATTGGTTTAGTGTTCTTCGCTAATTTCTACTTTCATAATTGAAATGCTCTATAATTCACATCTGTGTGCAGTTTTTACTATAGGACAAGAATATATTGTATTTTTTTCCACGTTACAAATGTACTGTTAAAAGAAAAAGAAAGCCCATAGTCATCTGATGACACATTTTTATTAGTTGAGAAGAAAACCTGTACGCCTAAAAACTGTTGATGACCCAACTGTGAAAGAGCTGTTAATTGATTGGTTAAACTCTAAGATGTTCTTGTTGCAAATTGAAGTTCAAATTACAAAGATTTTGAATTTCAGTGATATGCCAGTTTAGCAGTAGCTATATGTTTCATTTTTTGAATAGTAAAGTGCCTTCAGATAAGTGCGTTTAAAAAAAGAAAAAAATATGGTTGCCCTGTATGTTGAATTCCTATTATTCTACTAATGTTGTATGTTGTATTACCAGCTTTCTACTAATGTTGTATGTTTTATTTTCCTTCCTGTCAACAGGCCAAAGACGTTCGCAATCAATAATGAGGTAATATTTTGCACCACTCACTACAAGCAGCTGTTTGCCACCAAGGGGAACTATGACGAGGGGTTTGGCCGCACGCAGCACAAGAAGCGATGGAGCAGCAATCCTGACCTGACCAAGGATGCCGAGGAGGAGGAGGACCAGCCATCGTAGCAATGTGTTGATATATGAGAGAGTGTGTGGTTGTCAGTGTGAAAGTCTGTGTGTGTGTTGTGTGCTTCCAGGCTTCTGTGAGCTACATGGTGTTTTCGGCAGTGGGGTAAGGTAGCTGTGCATTAATGTCTATATTATTTAGTAAAAATTATCATCAGCAGAGCTGTTCTGTCAGTATGTGTAAACAGATTCTTAACAAACCAAAGTTAATGATTTCGCTAAAATTGTTCAAAGGCAGCTGTCACTAACAAATTTCACTTAATTTTAATATTTAAGGCTAATTTATAACAAATATAAGATCTATAATATTTAAGGCAACAGTTTCTTATAAATTTCACTTATCAGTAATATTCAAGGCAACTATTTCCAAGAGTTATACAGCTACCTTGAAACACAATCCCAAATGTCTTCTACACCCCAGTCAGTTAAGAAGACAGTTGCATGTTTTGACTTAATGCTTTTTGTATGGTTGCCAGCTTAGCTCCGAGTATGTGAGCTTAAAATTGTGTGTACAAGTTGAACCACATCCTAGCAATCTTTCCTATAGTAATGTTACTTACACGCAGTGTTTGTCATTTTTCATTTGGAAACTCAAAGGGGGCACAACCCAAATCAAGCAAGAATGGTATTGTTGTTGTTGTTGTTGTTGTTGTTATCGATCCAGCGGCGCATGAGCTTTCGCCCTTTGGCCCAATGCCATGTAGTGGAATTTGCATGTTTTCACAAGCTGTTCTTTTCCTCCGTACAAGGTGTTCCACTTGTCTGGTCTCGGAGGAAGTAGCGTTCTTCTTGTCTCACTGAGTTTTGGGCACTCAAAGAGATGGTGTTCAACAGTTTCGTAGGGGTAGTTACATAGCTGGCACTCTGGGGAGTGTTGTGGCTGTATTCTGTTTAGGTGTCCATTGAGTGGAGTATGTTGCGTTCTAAGTCTGAAGATGGTGGCCTGGTCCCTTCTTGTTAGATGGTTAATGCTGTCATTAGGATCAGGGCCAGACATATGTCTATAAACCTCTCTTCCAGTGTCTCCCATGGCCCATCTGTTCAACCAAGTCTCTTTGTTTATAGCTCTTATCAGTGTTTTTGCTGTCTGGAGGGTTGTCGCTGTAGGTGGTTGTTCTTGTGTTGCTCCTTTCTTTGCCAATCTGTCAGCTCTGTCATTACCTGGTGTGCCGGAGTGACCTGGAATCCACTGCATCACTATTCTGATGTTGTATGAGAATGGTAAGTCAGCCCTATTCCGCTAGATGTGCCGGGTCACTATAAGTGAACTTTTTCATTTTTAAATCCATAGATTTTATGTTATTAAAGCTATCACAGTGTGTATGTGTTGTGTGTGTGTTTTTTTTTTTTCAAATAGAATAACTATTTTTTTTTTTTAAACATTCTAACTTTACAGTATTATTTCTTGCTGTTATTCCTGAAAATTCTATATAATAGTTTCGATCAAAACAGCTTGTGCTTCTTATGTTCCTGGTAAACATTTGTTATAGTTTTTCACCTTTGCGTATTTCCTAAATGTGTAATATATCGTAGGAGGTCTGTTTTAGATTGTTAATTTAGCTGAAACTTGGTCTACAGCACAGAGACCAGCTGTTGAACCTAGATGTTTGTACAACAGGCTTGTTTCATTTTGTTGACTGCTGTCTCCAAGTGCAGGTATTTCTTGTCAGGTCTGTCAGTAAAATCTACAGAGGTTTTCATTTTTGTTTTTTTTTAGTAATATCCTGAACCTGCTATAACTTCCTAACATTTAATAATACTAAACTCAAGTCAGATGTTTACATTATATACAGTTCTGTGTCGTTTTATTCAGTCTGAGTATTTTCTGTGTCATGTGAAATGTCTAACCAGACATTTACAAGTCTCAATTAAAAATATTGAATGTAAAGTTCCTTGAGAAGCCTAAAGCCAAGAGACAATGAATGGTTTCTTGAGCAGCATGATACTCAGTGTTTCTTTCTTTCTTTTTCTTTCTTTCTTTCCTACAAAGTACACATCACATATTTGGTGTAGTAAGCTAGTTGCCTGTTTTTTAAAGGATTTTCGAAACCAGCCCTAGCACTTATTGCTGTTGTGTTGTATTCAAGCAGCTTTATGTGAAGTCATTAGTGAGGACTGTCATCACAGCAGATCCGGACAGATCTCCTCCACAGTAGCTCCACAAGAGTCTAACGACTGATCACGCACATTCTGTGTTCATTAATGAGACGTCTTGTGCCTTTTGGTCACATGTCTGACTGTCCCAGGTTGCACCCCAGTGTCCACCAGCCTGGACAAGGTGTCTGGCTGTCCTAGGTTGCACCCCAGTGTCCACCAACCTGGACAAGGTGTCTGGCTGTCCTAGGCTGCACCCCAGTGTCCACCAACCTGGACAAGGTGTCTGGCTGTCCTAGGCTGCACCCCAGTGTCCACCAACCTGGACAAGGTGTCTGGCTGTCCTAGGCTGCACCCCAGTGTCCACCAACCTGGACAAGGTGTCTGGCTGTCCTAGGCTGCATCCCAGTGTCCACCAACCTGAACAAGGTGTCTGGCTGTCCTAGGCTGCACCCCAGTGTCCACCAACCTGGACAAGGTGTCTGGCTGTCCTAGGCTGCACTCCAGTGTCCACCAACCTGGACAAGGTGTCTGGCTGTCCTAGGCTGCACTCCAGTGTCCACCAACCTGGACAAGGTGTCTGGCTGTCCTAGGCTGCACTCCAGTGTCCACCAACCTGGACAAGGTGTCTGGCTGTCCTAGGCTGCACTCCAGTGTCCACCAACCTGGACAAGGAGACTTGAGTCCTGTCTGTTTTGGGATCTTCTTAACGATTTTATCAAATAAATTTTATGATAAGTAGTTTGCTGTTGCTCTCTGAATGGTGCTGCTACCAACTTACCTGCTGCTGACATCAAATTTGGTGTAAGAGACAAAATTGTGCTCACTAATTGAGTGAAGTAAGCTTTTGCTGCAGTCTACATCTTGTATTATAGGAAAGTCACAACTTTTGTGTTATACAAGAAAGTCACAACTTTGGCATTTTATGAAAGTCACAACTTTTACATTACAGGAAAGTCACAACTTTTACATTACAGGAAAGTCACAAATTTTGTGTTATACAAGAAAGTCACAACTTTGGCATTATATGAAAGTCACAACTTTTACATTACAGGAAAGTCACAACTTTTACATTACAGGAAAGTCACAAATTTTGTGTTATACAAGAAAGTCACAACTTTGGCATTATATGAAAGTCACAACTTTGGCATTACATGAAAGTCACAACTTTTACAGGAAAGTCACAGCTTTGGCATTACAGGAAAGTCACAACTTTTGCATTACAAGAAAGTCACAACTTTGGCATTACAAGAAAGTCACAACTTTGGCATTACAAGAAAGTCACAACTTTTACATTACAGGAAAGTCACAACTTTTACATTACAGGAAAGTCACAACTTTTACATTACAGGAAAGTCACAACTTTTACATTACAGGAAAGTCACAACTTTTACATTACAGGAAAGTCACAACTTTTACATTACAGGAAAGTCACAACTTTTACATTACAGGAAAGTCGCAACTTTTACATTACAGGAAAGTCACAACTTTTACATTACAGGAAAGTCACAACTTTTACATTACAAGAAAGTCACAACTTTTACATTACAGGAAAGTCACAACTTTTGCGTTACAAGCTACTGCTACTTAAAGGTGGGTTGTTGGGTTCTGTAATTATATTTCCCCTTGGTGACACATTGCTGTACAACGATACACAATGTTGCTATGTCATATAATCAACTTGTATGTACTTCATCAAATTCAGTACTTCATGTTCATAATATCTGATATTTTGTTGACTATTCATCGTTTGCGCTTCACTTGTTTCCACTAAATGAGTTTTCAGTTGAGGAAATCAATGTTATTTTGAGGTGATCATATCATCAAAATAATTCTTCATTTGAGACAAAGATTTCATGGACTTGAGTCTTTTTTTGAGTTGATGATCTCATCAAAAATGAGCTCCGATTGGAGGTGATGATTTCATTGGAATGAGTTCTTGTTTGAATTAATTAAAAATTTAGAATTAATTTTCCTAGTGTTTTTTTTAAAAAAATCGGAGGTCATCTTATATTAGTGGACTTGGTTTGCAAGAGTAACTTTGCAATTTTCACCATTTGTGCTTCAGCAGAAGCTCCGGCTTCATTTAGTGTTTTTAAAGATCTGGTATTTCTCAGTATGCAATGATAGAGGTGTCAAAAGTCAGCTCAGACAACAGTTGTTTTTCAATGGTCTAAGGTGACCCCTGTGAAAGGGTCATTTGACCCCTAAAGGGGTCACGACCCATAGGTGGAGAACCGCTGGTTTAAATGAATAATTTATGATTGATGAATAGAAAGTACATTGTATAAGTACAATTGTGATTGATGAATTGAAAGTACATTGTATAAGTACATTTATGATTCGTGAATAGAAAGTGCATTGTATAAGTACAATTGTGCTTGATGTATACAAAAGTACATTGTACATTTGTGATTGATGAATATAGAAAGTACATTATACAAGCACATTTGTGATTGATGAATATATAAAGTACATTATACAAGCACATTTGTGCTTAATGTCTGGAAAGTGCACTTTATAGTTTACTGGTTTGGTTTTGACAAAGTTAATAAGAACTGACAAAGTTAATAAGAATAGTATAATAATTATAATGTGTGTGCATAGTACAGTTGTACTGAAGGTGTGTGACTTGGAAAGAAAACTTGTTCTAGTAGTTGCATTGTTTGTAACAGTCCCTCAGACAGCCAGGTTGTTTTGTATGCTCAAGTCTTAGTCTTTATTGTAGTCTATGCTTTCACATATAAAGATG